GCAATGTTGATACATCCCCTAACTGACCTTGTTAACTCAGTGTAACCAGAGAGTAATTGAGAGAGGGAGAGAGGGGGTCTCTCTCTCTCTCTCTCTCTCTCTCTCTCTCTCTCTCTCTCTCTCTCTCTCTCTCTCTCTCTCTCTCTCTCTCTCTCTCTCTCTCTCTCTCTCTCTTTCTCTGTCTCTCCAGCATCCCAGCATCACTTCTCTCAAAATACCATCTATAAATATGTTAAAACAACCATGGTGACAAAACACATCCCTGTCTAAGGCTTACTTTTACTGGGAAATGATCTCTCTCTCTCCTACATTCACTATCCTGAGCCTCACTATCCTCTTGAACAGCTGTTCACTGTTTTCAGTAACCCACCACTTATTTCATACACTTGCAACATCTGCCACATTGCTCCCCTATCTACCCTATCATATGTCAGTTCTCAACCCATGAGTGCAAGGCAAAGTTCCATGCTTTTATATGGTTCACTGTTAACATTGTCTCAGTCCACAGCAGGATTCGAACCTACACACTCCGCATCAAAGTACATAGAGTACGCAGGTTCGAATCCTGCTGTGGATTGAGAGATAGCGCTTGTTCAAAGTTCGCCTGTTTGAGAATTGTTAAGTATACTACTCTGTAAACACTTTCTCCACACATCCTCTATCCTTTCTATATCTTCTTTGTTTATCTTGTTTATCTGGCTCTCTCTCTCTCTCTCTATCTTACCCTTGTTTCTTCAATGATAACTCCGCCATACACTGTACCTGGTGTATTCAACAGGCTTATTTTCCCCCCTTATAATTCTTACACTGTCTTTTATGCCCCATCATCCTTCTTCCACCCTTAAATAGAGAAACTATGCAAGCTGTCTGCCAATCCCTAGGTACCTTCCCTTCTTTCATACATTTATTGTAGAAATGTGCCATCCACTCCAAAAATACACACCACACACACACACACACACACACACACACACACTAACACACAATAACACAAACAATATATATATATATATATAATTATATATATATATATATATATATATATTATATATATATTATATATGTCTTGTGGTGGGTTGGGCGGATGTTGTGGTGGGTCGGTGTCAGGGTAGTTACGCTTGTTGAAATTGCGGTTTTCGCGGAATTGTTGGGTTGTCGGAAATGATGGTTGTCGGAAATATTGGTTGTCGGAATTGTTGGGTTGACGGAATTGTTGATTGTCGGAATTGTGGGTTGACGGAATTGTTGGTTGTCGGAATTGTTGCTTGACGGAATTGTGGGTTGTCGGATTGTGGGTTGGCGGAATTGTTGTTGACGGAATTGTGGGTTGTCTGAATTGTGGGTTGTCGGAAATGTGGGTTGACGGAATATTGGTTGTCGAATTGTTGGTTACGGAATTGATGGATTGTCGGAACTTGTGTTGGATTGCGGAAATTTGGTTTCGGAATTTGCTTGACGGAATTGTGGGTTGTCGGAATTGGTTGGTGTTGGTGCGGAATTGTGGTTGAGGAATTGTGGGTTGTCTGAATTGTGGTTGTCGAATTGTGGGTTGACGGAATTGTGGTTGTCGAATTGTTGGTTTGCGGAATTATGGGTTGTCGGAGTGTTGGTTGTCGAATTGTGGGTCGAATTATGGGTTGTCGGAATTGTGGTTGACGGAATTGTGGGTTGTCGGAGTTTATGGGTTGCGAATTTGGTTGACGGAATTGTTGGTTGTGGAATTGTGGGTTGACTGGAATTGTGGTTGACGAATTGTGAGTTGACGGAATTGTGGGTTGTCGGAATTGTGGGTTGACGGAATTGTGACTTATTCGAATACAAAAATCGCTGTAAATTCACAAAATTTCGCTCTCCCTCTCTCAATATATATATATATATATATATATATATATATATATATATATATATATATATATATATATATATATATAATATATATATATATATATTATAATATAATCTATCTATCCATACGCTGATCTATCCAGATCTTCAGGTCCTCATCCACCTATCCACCTAATCCTTAGTCCAATATCATCCATAAGATTGGGCTAATCACCTACCTAATAACGACGCGGGTCTTACAAGCCTAATCATCCGTCTTACGAGCCTAATCACCTATCCGAGGATGTAGCCTAAGCAAGCTATGTAACACCCTAATCCTAGCTAATCCTAACTAATCCTAGCTAATACCTTGATGGGTGATGGCATAGCCACCCAATTACCAGCTCTAGATACCCAATTAGCTAACTTTTCTATTCTATTTCTAGCCTCTGGTCTAAGCGAGCTTTTAGTTTATCTCAGATTGAACTAACAATTATCCTGTCCTGGTTCTAACTTCACAATCAACCTAACCTAACTATAATTCGAATTACCCAATCAACCCTACATCTAGTTAACTACAATTCTAACTACCAATCAACCCTCAGATCTAACCACTGTACTAACAAACTATTAAATCCTCCCTCTAACTAAGTAGGTACTCACCATGTATGTCATGACTTTGTTAGCTAACTTACTAACAAATCCAAAAGTCTAACTAACTAGTTAATCATTAAGCTCATCTCTAACAACAGTTTAACTAATCTCTAATTAATCAACTAACAATAATGAAACCCCTTTTCTAACCTCCCAACTAACAAACTAGCTAACTATATTTCTAACATTTTTTGCTAACAACCAATCCTACTCGAATTCTAAGCACTCATCTAACAATCTAACTCAAAATCTAACTACCCTGGTGTCTATCCAAAACTTACCTTCTGATCTATGCTCTAACCATCGTGCTAACAACCTAACTCCGTTTATAACCCGTGAAGACAATCTAAATTAGCCTCTAACAACCCTACTATGTAACCTAACTTCTAACCAATCCATTAGCACTAATCTAATTTCTAACGCCACTAACTCTAGCCGCTAACAACCCCACTAATACTAATCTAACTCTACTAACACTAATCTAGCCTCTAACAACCCTACTAACAATATAACCTAACTTCTAACAACCCCGCTAACACTAACTTAACTTCTAATAACCCCCTAATACTAACCTAACTTCTAACAGCACCACTAACACTTATCTAACTTCTAACAACCCACTAACATTAACCTAACTTCTAACAACACTAACTCTAACCTAACTTCTAACAACTCACTAACACTTATCTAACTTCTAACACTAATAACACTAACCTAACTTCTAACAACCCCACTAACACTAACCTAACTTCTACCCCACTAAAACTAACCTAACTTATAAGAACCCCAATAACAACCCCACTAAGATTCTAACTTAACTTCTAACAACCCTACTAACAATGTAATTCAACTTCTAATATCCTCCACCAAGACTGTAGCCAAACTTCTAACAACCCACTAACACTAGCTCAACTTCTAACAACCCCCTAGTAATATAAACTGACTTCTAACAACATAACTAACAATGTAACCCAACATCTAACAACCCTACTAGCAATCTAACCTAACTTCTAGCAACTTTACTAATAATCTAACCTAACTTCTAACAACCCTACTAACACTCTAAACTAACTTCTAACAACCCTACTATCTCTAACCCAATTTTTAGCAACCCTACTAACAGTCTAACCCAACGTCTAACAAGCCTACTAACAATCTAACCTAACTTCTAATAATCCTACTAACTCTCTAAATTAACTTCTAAGAACCCTACTAACAATCAAACCCGATGTATAACAAGTCTACTCACTTCTAACAATCCTAGTAACTTCTAACAACTCTACTAATTTCTAAAAACTCTACTAACTTCTAACAACTCTACTAACTTCTAATAACCCTACTAACTTCTAACAGCCCTACTAACTTCTAACAACTCTACTAACTTCCAACAACTCTGTTAACTTCTAACAATCTTAATAATACAGTCTAGCTTCTAATCACTTAACAATCTAATCTAATTGTTAATTACCTTACTAACACTCTAATCCAAATTTAACCAATCTACTAACAAGCTTTCACAAATTATAACCACTCTACTAACAAGTTTAACTCCACTTCTAACAATTCTACTAAGAATCCAACTCGACTTCTAACCATCCTACTAATAATCTAACCTCCATACTGACACCGGCGCTAACCACGCTGCTAACAATCTAACTTAGCCAGTCTTACTAACAAAACCATCCACTAACTATTTAAACCATCCTTCAACTATCATACTACCAGGCCATGCTCAGTTTTAACTAAACCTAACCCTAACTAATCTTAACCTAACTAAACCTAACTAACTAAACCTGACCCTAACTAAACTTAACCCTAACTAAACTTAACCCTAATTAAACTTAAACCTAGCTAAACCCTAACTAAACCTAACCCTAACTAAACCTGACCCTAAATAAACCTAACCCTAACTAAACCTACCCCTAACTAAACAAACCCTAACTAAATCTAACTATAACTAAACCTAACTCTAACTAAAAACCTATCCCTTACTAAACCTAACTCTAACTAAACCTAACTAACTAAACCTAACCCTAAGTAAATCTAACCCTAATTAAGCCTAACCCTAACTAAACCTAACCCTAACTAAATCTAATTCTAACTATAACTAAGCACAACCCTAACCAGACATAACCGTAAACAAAACTACTAATCTCTCTAACTACTCGACTAGCCAATCTAACTCCAATTTCTAAATATTCATCTAACTAGCCTCCCAAGCTTCTAATCACTTTATTCAAATAGCCAATCGAAGCACAGTTTCTAACTACTCATTTACCCAGTCTTCCAAGCTTCTGACCAATCAGCCCAACCCAACTAACCAATCAAACCAACCCAACCCTAAGCCAGTCTAACCACAATTTCCAGCTTAACAAACCACTAACCAACAAACCCAACCCAACTAGCTAACCCTCCAAGCCTAACCCAACCTCAAAACTCTATCTAACACCACTTGTTGATCTCTGTTCCCACCTCTAACACCCCACTAACCTGATCCTAACCTCTCTATCCTACTATTCTAGGCTCGAAGAGAGAAGGTTACTTATATAGCTCCATGACCAACTTAGCAGAGTACAAGAACTCAAGTTCTGGTCAAACTTGTTACTATTACACTCCAAGAAATAATTTTCACTGTGATTACTTTAAAGGTAATTAGGAGGATTTGATGATTTGTTTTTTGTGTGTTTTTGTTTTTGTGTTTGTGTGTGTGTGTGTGTGTGTGTGTGTGTGTGTGTGTGTGTGTGTGTGTGTGTGTATGTGTGTGTTTTATTTGTTCGTGTGTGCATTCATCGTGTGTGTGTTTATTGTCTGTACGTTTTTTTGTGTGTACGCCTATGTACGTGCATTTTTTGACGTGTGCGTTTTTGGTTATGTTTTGCGTGTGCGTTTCTTGTGTGTGCGTTTTCTTGTGTGTGCTTTTTTTGTGTGTGCATTTTTCTCTGCTTTTTGTGTACGTTTTTGTGGTGACACGATCATGTGAGTGACTTTATTTGTTGCTCTTGTTGTTGTTTTTTCTTGTTATTTCTTTATTGAGTGAAATTATTGACTTTAAGATTTACTGTTAGACTTTATTTACTGACTTTATTTACTGACTTTATTTATTGACTTCATTTACTGTCTTTATTTATTGACTTTATTTATTGACTTTATTTACTGACTTTATTTACTGACTTTATTGACTTTATTTATTGACTTCATTGACTTTATTCATTGACTTTATTTATAGACTTTATTTACTTTATTTATTGACTTTATTTATTGACTTTATTTACTGACTTTATTTATTGACTTTATTGTCTTTATTTATTGACTTTATTTATTGACTTTATTTATTGACTTTATTTACTGACTTTATTTATTGACTTTATTTATTGACTTTATTTATTGACTTTATTTACTGACTTTATTGACTTTATTTATTTACTTTATTTATTGACTTTATTGACTTTATTTATTGACTTTATTGACTTTATTTATTGACTTTATTTATTGACTTCATTGACTTTATTCATTGACTTTATTTATAGACTTTATTTACTTTATTTATTGACTTTATTTATTGACTTTATTGACTTTATTTATTTACTTTATTTATTGACTTTATTGACTTTATTTATTGACTTTATTGACTTTATTTATTGACTTTATTTATTGACTTCATTGACTTTATTCATTGACTTTATTTATAGACTTTATTTACTTTATTTATTGACTTTATTTATTGACTTTATTTACTGACTTTATTTATTGACTTTATTGTCTTTATTTATTGACTTTATTTATTGACTTTATTTATTGACTTTATTTACTGACTTTATTTACTGACTTTATTGACTTTATTTATTTACTTTATTTATTGACTTTATTGACTTTATTTATTGACTTTATTGACTTTATTTATTGACTTTATTGACTTCATTTATTGACTTTATTGACTTTATTGACTTTATTTATTGACTTTATTTATTGACTTTATTTATTGACTTTATTTATTGACTTTATTGGCTTTATTGACTTTATTTATTGACTTTATTGAATTTATTTATTGACTTTATTGACTTTATTTATTGTCTTTATTTATTGACTTTATTTATTAACTTTATTTATTGACTTTATTTATTGACTTTATTTACTGACTTTATTTATTGACTTCATTTATTGACTTTATTTATTGACTTTATTTAGACAACAAAATTAAAACATAGATGAATAAATCAATAAAGCAATAAGTCATTAAAGGAATAAATCAATAAAAGAATAAAGGAGACAAAAAATGAATAAAATAATTGAACCAAGAGAAAAAATAATTAATATATTATTTTTCTCTTTATTCATTTATTATTTTATTCATCTATTCCTTTATTTATTCTTTATTTATTGACTCATTTTCATTATTTAATTTCTCATTTTATTTCATTCATTTTTTTTCATTCTGCTTCATTCATTTCCTCGACGTTTCATTAATTTTTCAATATATTTCACTGTTTTTCACTGTATTTCATTCATTTTCATTCATTTTTTCATTCATTTTCATTCTTTTTTTCTTCATTTTCATTCTTTTTCCTTCGTTTTCATTCTTTTTTCCTTCATTTTCATTCTTTTTCCTTCATTTTCATTCTTTTTCCTTCATTTTCATTCTTTTTCCTTCATTTTCATTCTTTTTTCCTTCATTTTCATTCTTTTTCCTTCATTTTCATTCTTTTTCCTTCATTTTCATTCTTTTTCTTCATTTTCATTCTTTTTCTTCGTTTTCATTCTTTTTCCTTCATTTTTCTTCTTTTTCCTTCATTTTCATTCTTTTTCCTTCATTTTCATTCTTTTTTCCTTCATTTTCATTCTTTTTCCTTATTTTCATTCTTTTTCTTATTTTCATTTTTTTCTTCATTTTCATTCTTTTTTCCTTCATTTTCATTTTCTTTTTTCCTTCATTTTCATTTTCTTTTTCCTTCATTTTCATTTCTTTTTTCCTTCATTTTCATTTTTTTCCTTCATTTTCATTCTTTTTCCTTCATTTTCATTCTTTTTTCCTTCATTTTCATTCTTTTTTCCTTCATTTTCATTCTTTTTTTCCTTCATTTTCATTCTTTTTCCTTCATTTTCATTCTTTTTTCCTTCATTTTCATTCTTTTTCCTTCATTTTCATTCTTTTTTCCTTCATTTTCATTCTTTTTCCTTCATTTTCATTCTTTTTCCTTCATTTTCATTCTTTTTTCCTTCATTTTCATTCTTTTTCCTTCATTTTCATTCTTTTTCCTTCATTTTCATTCTTTTTCCTTCATTTTCATTCGTTTTTCCTTCATTTTCATTCTTTTTTCCTTCATTTTCATTCTTTTTTCCTTCATTTTCATTCGTTTTTCCTTGTATTTCATACATGGTGATGAAAGAATCTTGATCCAAGGTGTTGGAGTTTCCCCCTCCTCCTCCCCCTCCCCATTTTCCTCCCCTCCCAATTTTCTTCTCATCCTCCCATCCCATTATCCCCTCCCCTCATTATCCTCTCCCTCCTTCTCCCATTATCCTCCCCTCCCCATATCCCCCTCCCCATTATCCTCCCTCCTCATTATCCTCCCCTCCTCATTATCCTCCCTCCTCATTATCCTCCCCTCCTCATTATCCTCCCCTCCTCATTATCCTCTCCTCTCATCCTCCCCTCCCTATTATCCTCCCCTCACCCTCCCTTTCCCCATTACCCTCCCCATCCCATTATCCTTCCCTATCCATTATCCTCCCCTTCCCATTGTCTTATCTCCATTATCCTCGCCTCCCCATTATCCTCCCCCATTATCCTCCCCTCCCCATTATCCTCCCCATTATCCACCCCTCCCCATTATCCTCCCCTCCCCATTATCCTGCCCCATTATCCACCCCTCCCCATTATCCTCCCCTCCCCATTATCCACCCCTCCCCATTATCCTCCTCTCCCCATTATCCTCCCCTCCCCATTATCCACCCCTCCTCATTATCCTCCCCTCCCCATTATCCTCCCCTCCTCATTATCCTCCCCTCCCCATTATCCACCCCTCCTCATTATCCTCCCCTCCCCATTATCCACCCTCCTCATTATCCTCCCCTCCCCATTATCCTCCCCTCCCCATTATCCACCCCTCCTCATTATCCACCCCTCCCCATTATCCTCCTCTCCCCATTATCCTCCCCTCCCCATTATCCACCCTCCTCATTATCCTCCCCTCCCCATTATCCTCCCCTCCTCATTTTCGGCACTCCTGAGTTACAATTATAAATTAAAATTAATAATTATAAATGATTATAAATTATTATACAATTAATATTAATTTTAATGCATTGAGAAATTTTATCAATTTTTTTATTTCATTTTCTTCCTTTTTTCGCATTTTTTGTATTTCCCGTTTTCTTATTGAATTTCCCGTTTTCTTATTGAATTTCCCGTTTTCTTATTGAATTTCCCGTTTTCTTATTGAATTTCCCGTTTTCTTATTGAATTTCCCGTTTTCTTATTTAATTTCCCGTTTTCTTATTTAATTTCCCGTTTTCTTATTGAATTTCCCGTTTTCTTATTGAATTTCACGTTTTCTTATTGATTTTCCCGTTTTCTTATTGATTTTCCCGTTTTCTTATTGATTTTCCCGTTTTCTTATTGATTTTCCCGTTTTCTTATCGATTTTCCCGTTTTCTTATTGATTTTCCCGTTTTCTTATTGATTTTCCCGTTTTCTTATTGATTTTCCCGTTTTCTTATTGATTTTCCCGTTTTCTTATTGATTTTCCCGTTTTCTTATCGATTTTTCCCGTTTTCTTATTGATTTTCCTGTTTTCTTATTGATTTTCCCGTTTTCTTATCATTTTTCCCGTTTTCTTATCGATATTTCTCGTTTTCTTATGGATTTTCCCGTTTTCTTATCTATTTTTCAGGTTTTCTTATCGATTTTCCCGTTTTCTTATCATTTTTCCCGTTTTCTTATCGATTTTTCCGTTTTCTTGCTGCTTTTACCCCCTTTGTTTTAGTTTAGTTTCCCGTTTTCTTTATTTTCTTTCTTTTTCTTATTGTTTTTTATATTTCAAATTACTAATTTCTTTTGTTTTCTCATAGGTTTTCGTGTTTATTTTCTTATATTATCGATTTTTTCCATTTTTCTTATTTTCCTGTTTTTTCATTTCACTGTTTCCCGTTGATTTTCCTGTTTTTCTTTTGATTTTCCTGTTTTTTATTGATCTTTTCTTACTAATTTTCCCGTTTTTTTATCTTGTCTTCTTACTGTTTTTCTTTGTTGTTTTACTTGTTTTTTTTTTACTTTATTTTCTCACCATTTCTCTCGTTTTCTTTATTTTGTTTTTATTCATCTTTTACGTTTTCTTTAATTTGATGTCTTATTATCTCCGTTTTCTATGTCATTTATTACTTATTTTCTTCGTTTTTTATTAATTTTCTCGATTTTCAAATTCGTTTATTTTCTTCGTTTTATTATTAAAAATTAAATATAAAAGTGAAAAAAAAATTAGGAGAAAAGAGGTTAAAAAATAATTTTTAATCATTTTTTTTTATT